ACACGTACCGGCCCAAGCGGCCCACCACGCTCAACCTCTTCCCGCAGGTGCCGAGGTCTCAGGTGAGGCGCGAGCGGCGGGGGGCGGGGGCGGCGGGGCAGGACGGGGGCTGGCTGGGTTTGGAGCCTGCAGGAGGGGCCAATGGGACCTTTGAAGGAGCGAAGGGCCAGTGGAAGGATTGGGGGAAAGAGAGGTGGGGCACTAAGAGAACCGGATTTTGAAGGGTTGGAAGGGTTTGGCACCTGGGATCTCATGTTGTCGGGGTTTCCCCTTCAGTGTCTGGAGCGCCTGGTGAAGCCTGGAGAAAAGGGCGTCTGAAGTGGGGTTGGGGGAAGGTCATGGGAAACTGTTGAGGTGGGGATTGGGAACTTGGGGGGCAGCAGCTTGTTTGAAATCTGGACAGCTGGGAATTCCCAGAAGGCCAGGAGAGAAAGGGAGGATGGAGCTGCTTGGCTGAGTTGGGGGCCTAGGGCCCCTGGGCCGGTGGCTGGGTGCCAAGGGCCGATGAATAGGGTGGGGAGAGCTCGCTTGGCCCTTTGTCCTGCAGGCCCAGTCCGTAGAGGTGCAGACAGAGCTCCAGGGAGCTGGGACTGCAGGGGGGATGGTGCAGGGCTGCAGGGGAAGGGTTGGTCCCTTTCCCAGGATCCTCTGGAATGGCTTTTGGCAGCCCGGCTCATGAATGTGAGGGCTTGCGAGGGTGTTCCCAGGGGAAGGAGCTGAGTTGTGCGTAGGGAGCCGTGAATGTAGGTGTTGTGGAGAGGTTCCGGGGGGCTGAGACGTGGGATGGGTAGCCCCAGAGATCAGGAGGGCCGCTGACAGCCACATCTGTCAGGCCTCAGTCATGTGCTCCAGTAGCGGAGGGAGGGAACCACAGTATGGATTCTTCATTTGGGTGACTCATCCCAGCCCCCCAGGCCAGCTACAGGGGAGCCCCTCTCTGTGCTTTTTCCAGGCTCTCATAGAATGTCCCTGCCCCTGCCTAGGCCATAGCACCCTGGGGAGCCAGGGCAGGGAGGCATTCTCTGACTTGGGCTAGATTGGAGCCGCTTCCATGCAGACCCTTAGTGCCTGGGACCAGAGATCTGACTTCATCTCCAGAGAGTACCCGTGCCTCTCTGCCTCCACCCCGCCACCTCCCCCACTCTCCACTGAGCACAGCGGCCACCCCCATGTGGAGGCTGATGAGAGCATCCCCCTGAGGGCTGGCCAACCTCCCTGAGCCTGGAGGAAGGGCTGGCAGGAGCCAGCAGACCTGGCTGGGAGGGCTGCCACGCGCTACCCCTCCTTGCTGTCTGCTCAGGCGAGGGTTGGGAACGAGGCCCTTGCCAAGTGGAGGTGGGGTGAATGCCGACGGCCCAGGGGTGGCCTGATGGGGGCAGGGCCAGGGCCTCCCTGTGCCGGGCACTGCTGATGGCTTCTGTCACAAGAGCCCTTTGTTCCCTGCACAGGACACGCTGAATAACAACTCTCTAGGCAAAAAGCACAGTTGGCAGGACCGGGTGTCCCGGTCATCCTCACCCCTGAAGACAGGTAAGTCAGGACCCTTTCCCTCTCAGACTCACCCTGCAGTGCTCAGTCCCCACCGCAGAGCAGACCAAAGGTCTCTAAAGGTCTCTAACTCACCTACACGGCCCATCCCGAGCCCCTGGACCAGTCCATCTGGAGCCAGAGTCAGCCGCTGCCTGAGCGGTGGCTGGCACCGCGCCCACCCAGGGCCCCGCACAGGGCGCCTTTGTCGTGGTGCCATGCTGGCTAGAGGCCTGGAGGGAGCAGGAAGCCGGGCCAGGAC